GCTACACAACTACAATCTGAACAGTGGGTTCCCAAATTTCCAGCATCGACTCGGAGGGTATTATAAAAATGCTCCTTTAAACGATTATTCAAACACCTGCCACTCTGGTCTGCATAAGTAGCGTGGTATGGAGCATGTAGGCCAGAGTGGCAGGTGTTTGAATGGTCTTTTAAGGGAGCATTTTTACATTACCCACAGAATCGTCGCTGGACATTTGAGAATCTACTGTCAGAATTGTTGTTGCGTAGCACATTTTGAACGTTGTTCCGTAATAGGCCGGATTCGAGACCCTCTGACAAGAAGAGCAATGAAACCGCAAAGAATAGAGCATCTGAAGGACAAGTGTGTAAGAAGTCCTTCAGACTTCTTACACAATTGTCCTTCCCGCAAGCCACGCGAAAGAATCAGTAACCAGAGACCGGTAGTCACCCCCTATATTCATAACATTTCTCATAACCTGAAGTAGATCGCGAATCGCGTAAATATCGATGTAGTCTTTTCCGCCCCCATCAAACTATCAGGCCAATGTAAAAACGTTAACGCCACACCAAAAACCAATACCGTCTGCACTAAAAAGCACATAACCCCATACATACCTTGCACAGAAGGAGTGATTTATTCCTTTCCCCTATCATGCGGCAGACAGTACTTAGAAGAAACTGGAAGATGTGTCAATGACAGATTAAGGGAACACAACAACACCCGATTAGCAAACTCAGGACGTCTGGGCATTCACTGCCGTGACTGTGGGTGCGCCGCGGACTTCGAAAAATAGCACCATAATCGGAAAGACCCATCATCAGTTAACACGTGAGATAATAGAGGCAGCTAACATCATAAAAAGGAGTGACACCTGTGTTAGTAGTCCATTCATAACGCTTACGGAAAAATAACTGTTATATCTAGATTCTCGAAGGTAATGTGCGATAGACATTGCTAATGGTTTTGTACAGAAGAGAAAGAAGTGAGGTGACAAATTTAACACGGGTAAAAGAAAAACGAAAAAAGACGAAAATACACTTTGAGATGAAAGTCAGCGCGACGTGAGTGACCGTTTTTCTGGTGTGAGTGTGAATGTGAGGGTGAGTGAGTCTACTTTAGCGCTTCTGCTGCAACAGAAACATCTGCTGTTCGACTTTTTTTCGGACGGCACTAGTAGGCGCGGATGGAGTGCCGTCGGACGGCACTGTAGACCGCTAAAGAAACAACAGAAAACGAGGTGTTTCGAACAACTTTCTTTGAGAAATCATGAACTGATTTTTCAACTACTTCCTCGTCAGCTTTGCTCTTCAGTATATAAGCCGAGTGAGAAACCATGTGGTCATATTTCACTGAAACCCAAAGTTCTGCCAGCAGTCTGAGAGGCGGCATGGACAAAGCCCTACATAAATTTCACACTTCCCATTTTTGTAAGCGCTGACAAATATGAAGGGAGCGACGGGACAAGCGATGGCGACCCTTTTTGCTATCGCTCATCCGCACGACGAGGCACACTGCATGAGAGCGACATGAGCAAGCGACCAATGTGATGAGCGACGTTTTCTAGTAATTCAAGAACCGAGCAGCGTTACAAGCGGCAGTGAGAAATCTCCGTCGCTGTTGCCGATGCTGATCTCGTTGCTCACTAAAGCGCTTACATGCGGTCCAGTCTTGATTGTCTGAAAGCAAGAGACATGTGCCACGAGTGAGTGCCGTGCTGGCACTCACTTCCAGGTGCTACACTGCCATTTGCTTCCAAGTCCTGCACGGGCCTCCTGCTCAGGCGCTTTGATGCCACTTACGAAACTAGCACAAACTCGTCAAGGGGTTTTAGGTGGGGTTAGCCATCCAGTGTGTTTGCCGCACCATTCTTTTCGGTGCCTCGACAGGCCGCAGTCACTTCACAGTAACAAGTTGGGACGCCATGATGACAGCGGCGCTTGTGCCTGCTTGTCTTATTCACTAGAGGTTTCAAGACCAACTGCAGACTTTCGACAGCATGTCACTTTCGGTTTTATAGCATGATTTTTGCTTCCTTCGGACAACTCTTAATACATGGGAGGAACAAGATGGCAATTGCACCAGTGGGGAATACGTCCAGGCGCTATGCCTGTACTAAAACTTGCTTGAGCACGTGTTTATTCATGATTACCTTTACACTTCCAGCGTTACCTCCGAGGCGGGATTTCCCTACCAAAACAAAAATGTGACTGGGCCATAGGCAAGGCCAAGTTCGACTCGCGCTGCTGATCCTTTTGTCCCGGTGCCTCTACAGGGGCAAGGACCTGGTCAATAGGAGTGTGACAGATTACAAGATTAAAAAAATGAACACAGTTGTCAAAAACTTGAGTCTTAAGGCCCGTTCACACTCTTGCAATCCAGTACGACCGAAAGAGACGGGATCTGTTAAAACGTCTTAAAATTTTTAGGAGAAGGGTACACACTGGCATTCTGGCGCCATATATACGGTGACCCTGGAACTGCATTTTTCAAGAGCGAAGGTTTCGCGGGATTTCCGAGGTCAAACGTGTGTAATACCTGTGAGAAAGGCGTGTTTATAACGTTGACAAAAGATTTTTGAGCGAAGAAAGAAAGGATAATGCACAAGAGAAATAGTAAATATGCCGGACAGCCAAGTTTACACTGCTACCCAATAGATGGCGCCAGTGTGTTCTCTCGTAAGAGGTTTTAAGGAACCCAGGTTTAAGAGGTCGCAAGAGTGTGAACGGGCCTTCAGAGAACAATGAAGTAAACGGAAAATAACAGTTCATGCCTTCTTGGCATTTCATCAGGTTGTCGGCAAGCCTCTTCACTATGTATGTTATGTGCATTGCTTTGGTATTTGTTGATTTTCTGGAAACAGGTGCCAGCAGGTACGGGCATATACAATGGTAATTATATTCGTGCATCTGTACAACTTTTTTTGTTATTTTCTTTTAAAGCTTGCTATTTAGTTTTGAAAGAACTTCGTGGTTCCAAATGCGAAGTTGGAGACATTATATTGGTGCGCTCAAAACCAGTCCAAGGTCAGAACTAATGCCAAGGCATCTAAAAAAAATATAATGTTACCAGAAACAATGTCATTTATTATGTTGTCAAGCTAGGCCTCGCAAATGTTGGCCAAATCGGGTCCACAATACTCCGTCTCATCCTACGATGGACTAAACCCAATGATACAGGCCGCCGGGTCCAATGATGAGCCTGTTTGAAACAACGTGGTATGTTTGCTCCGTAGTACGTATCAGGGCGCCAGGACGCGTCATGCGGAGGCGGGTTTTTCGTCCGCTTATCGAAAACTCGAAGCGGCTGCTCCGGCTGCTTGCTGAGTTTTTCCTCTAATTCCTTGTCATAGAACGAATTTTACGACACTCAAGGAATCTCGACTGCTGATCCATATGCGTGTGCTTCGTCCGTATCGCTGTCAGCCTCGTACGCGCCTTGGTTGCCGCTATACTCTGTTGCACCATACGTAGGACCGCTGCGGAAGTCTGGGGGCTGTGACGCGACCCAGACAAGCTGTTTCTACGCATCGCGAAGTAGTGCGTCAAAGACCTTGGGCAGTACGAAGCGTGGATATACTTTAGCCTTACTTTAATATTTTTGAGTCGTGTACCATCAACGCAAAAACAACGTTTGTATTCAAGAAGAGCTTTCAAGCGTGATATTTAATACATAATTAGGTAGCACGTACGGAGAAATTAAACTTTTAGTTGGCAACACTGCCGTTGTGTTCGTTTCTTCATGCTACAGAGGCTGGAATACTGACTAGTGTTCAGAGCGCCGGCGGAGAGGAGCAACATTTTCGGATGACAGAAGCGGTGGCGCTGCGGACAGCAGTCCTATCAGGAAGACGACCGAGCAGCGCCGCGGAAGGCGTGCGATGCGCGCAGAGTCCGCGGCCGAGGAGCCAAAAAGCGCGCGTGCGCTCTTTTAAGCGCAGGCGTGTAGAATTAATGCGGGAATAATGAGGGAAAAAAGAAAGGAGCAGTGACCACAAACTGATTTACGATTAAAACTCCTTACGCAAAGGGTAACGAACGCGCTACGCTGACGACTGCGACGTCGAGATTTGATTTCATGTTACGGGGAGTGTGTTTTCCAGGCATAGAACTACTGCTAGCAAAATGACGCCGAAGAAAACGTGCTGGCTTTGCAATATGGTTGCGATTCTCTTTCCAAAGATAGCTCCTTCAAGTTGAAACATAGTGCATGTTGTGCAGAGGGCTGTGATCAAAATTTACAAAAATATATGTATAGAAAGAAATAACATCCTGTGCAATGAAACATCGTATCTTTATTACACAGTTACACTCATGACACACGGTAAGATGTCCAATAAATTGCTGGGAATAAAGAACTCACATGAAACGACCAATACACATCTTGCAAATGACTAAAATGTAGGAAAATGAAAATAACTAGAAAACTCAAAACATTAAACAAAATATGCAAATTATTAAGAAAATTTTGTTAAATCACTAGAAATGCAGCAACAATAATAACAAAGGTAATGCAAACTGTTCTGCATATCTTGTAAAATTCCTAGGAATACATACGAAACGTTGAAGAGATGACAAAAATATCTTGCATACCAGGCAAAATGACGAAGAATCCACAAAAAGTGCCCGACACTAAATATAAAACTTATTCATATTTGAATACCTTGCAAAATGACTAAGGGTATGGATAACTTCAGCAAGCACCTTAAAGCACCACTGCGAAGTTCATATGCATAGTGCTTCAACCAAGAGTGAAATATTTTAAACGGAGAGCACTAGAAATAAAAAAAAAAAAATATATCTTCAAAATAATGTTATCGACTGCGGCAGAAAAGAACATACCAATAGTTAACTAATTAACTAAACTTTGTTAAACAACACTTAGAACACTGTAATAAGGGCATCGGCCGGGTTAAGTTAGAAAGTTCAAGGTGGTTGTATTTCAAGAGTTCTATTTCGTAGAACTGTCCTAACCAGCCTGTGTTCCTAGATATCCCTCTCCAAACCTTCCACACAATACAGCTAAATTGTATGCAATACGTAAAGATCGGTTGTGGCACCAATATCCCTGTGTTGTATCCTGTGTACCGAGAACGGGTCGTCTTCGAATACAATCTTCGACCAGTAGGAGGTTGGCAAATGCAGGTTTCTGTAGAACTGGGATTTACCAGACCGCTGCGTCGCTGTTGAGCTTCTCTCTTCGTCCTGAATATGGACGGATTCGTGCGTCCATCTTGAGCTTGTCTCTTCGCCTTGAATATCTACGGCTTCGCAGTTTTCTTCCTGCCTTTTTCGTTTACGAGGAGGCAACAGTTGGTGGCACAAATCTCTTGTTTTTCTTTTTTTGGGGAGGCTTCGGGTGAAATAACTTGGCGCGCTCGGAAAAATGGTGGGAACAGCATCGTCCTTCAGAAGAGGTCTGTCGCGTTGGATCTGGACGAGCTTACCGTTTACGATGTGATTAAACTGCTTAAACGTCTTCTCGATGTATTGCTCTTCAAAGTGTTTCGCACACACCACACGCGTACTGTCGAGGGTTCTGTCCGCACGCTTGATGTTCTGGGACCATGCCTCCAAACGCTCGGCGTCTTTCGGGGCACGGAACAGCGGCACTTTCTCTTTGCAAGACTGGTAACCGCGGTTACAGTTCGGCACAAAGCAAGATTTGGCTCTTTTAGATGGCATTGCACGCCAATCTACAGCTTAAAAGAAACAAACCGGCTCCGCTCCCCGTGTTCGTCGAAGCTTGGCCACACAGGAAAGCAACCGGCGGCACGGTCGCACGGTCAGTCTGCACGGTGTTGCGGGCGGCGGTGGCGGCGGTAATAGGACTCCTGGATCGAGCGCCCCATAGCACCTTCATCCGCTCGCGTCGCCTCCGCGCTCATAGAAAATGCCTCCGCTCACAACACTAGTCAGTATTCCAGCCTCTGTATTCATGCGTTTAGTTCAGGTTTGCTTTCCATTTCGTGACATGATCTTAAAAAAAAATGTTTCTTCCAAGGAGAAGTTTTTTTATTTAACAGTTATTGTACACTCTGTAAAACTCTGGTAAATGTTTATTGGAAGCATCCATTTCAACTTTACAAATACTTTTGCCCATGTTTAAGATGTCACGTGACAAATTGTCATTGTTTTCGTAATGGCTGCGGCATCGTCAAGCATGTCTCCGTCAAAGGCGCCGGTACTTCCATCACCAGCTCGCTTCCAGGTGACATTTGCTAAAACCTCGTTTGGAAAAGAGGCGCGCCAAGTTGAGCTGAGCGTTTACTACAATAAGTGGGGCCATCATCGCTAGGTGCCAATTCGCACAGTTTGAAGCTCTAGGGGCCTTCGCGCGTTGGTCCCTTCTTGGAAAAGTTCATGGATTCAGGAGGCTGTGTTCACCGGGATCACGACGGACGAGCTGGTAGGCCATCGTAGTGAATGGAACAGAAAACATCCATTGACAACATGTCTGGTTGCGCCGTGAAGCGGAGATTTATTCGTCGATGCCGCATGGTTTTTGCGGAATTGGAGTAAAGAAACAAAATAGCTTCATACCGCCGTGCGTGATCCGTCACTCGCTCTCCGGGAGCTATAGTGTTGATGAACGTTCCCCCTACGTCGAGGCAGTCACATTAGGAGTTGTTGTTAAACGCACGCACGGTTTTGCAGCAAAAACTACGAATTAAAACACTCACTTTGCTTGCTCTTTCACTTTTATTTACCGATGTATAAAACGTTGGCCTGCGCGTTCTGCATGCGATCAGGAGTATGCGGCGAACTTCCAAGCGAGCAAGAGCGTTTCGGTTAAAGTCAAGGTTCGATTGTTACCGCTTACCTGAATTGTTGAGTGGCTTAAAACGTGTAGATTGGTTTCTGTGTGCCACAAGTAAAGCGAAAGGCTTCTGCGGACCCTGCTTCTGCTTGACGGGTAAAGCTATCTGCGTAAGCCTATCCCACAGAGAAAGGCGACGAAGCCGTCGCGCGTCGATCTCACAACTCCAAAATGCTCCAGCGTTTCGTAATAAGCGAAGAACATTACACAAAGTCAGGTATGCTAATCGAAAACAGCAGATGCGATCGGTTCATCCCCAGTGAGCTCGCCTAAACCTTCCTGGCGGCGCCATTGCAACCCGCGCAGTGATACCGCTGATACGCCCTTGAGGAGCAAGCTGACGTCACTTCTAAACATGCGCTTGATTGGCTCTGGTGGTCCATAGCTTTGGCTCGGGGTCCAACGTAATGTGAAACGGAGTATAGGACTAAAAGCCTTCATTGCATGTATACTTACTCGTCGGTAGGTCGTTTGGTTAATTTTATCATTTGCCGGAGGCGAAGCCTCCGTATCTCCTTGAACCATAGCCTACGGCATGCGTGTTTCCGCTACGCCGGGACAATCGGCGTCAGTAGTCAAGCGTAATCTGTGGGGACAGCTTGGGTGAAAATTCCTGTATCTCCCAGCCTAACGCGGCCGTCACATTTGGTATCCCAACGTCCGATCGATTAAAAAAGGCTGCATGAGCTGAACACAGTGTTTGAGTCGATAGATGACAGTGTCGGCGAAACATGCTTGAGCCCGACGACGTGTGCCGTCTCTACGGGATACACCTCCACTTTACGTGAACGTGGGGATGCTGTCATCTCGCAATTTTCACCTCGCTTTGGCCTCGCCGAACATTGAGGGGGGTTCCCGAAAGGCCATATGTTTGTTCATGCACTTCCCGTAGGAACTTGTTTCTCGTGAGTGTTTGCATTATCCCCAAAGCACGCGCTCAGCGCTGCTTAAAACATCCATCGATAAGATTGCTGGGCGATCCTTCACACAGCGCTCACAAAATATTAATAGCTACAAAAAGCAATAAACTCATTATTCTCCCCCCCCCCGCGCATTTTACTGCGTTTATTCATCCGATTTTGTAACAGGAATCTCATTAACAGTGACACATGCTATCGTGCATCGTTTGTATCAGTTTTAAGATGTTCTCACTCACCAGACTGAAATCTTGCTTACTTCAGAGTTTTCTAATACTACGCTTACTTTATATTTTTAGGTGCTTGAATTAATACAGATTTACAGTGTATCTCACAAAACAGGTTTCATAGTCATACCAGACATGGTGTCACATATTGCAGCAGCAAGGAATAAATGCGACTTGCTCGATTTGGTTCTTGTGTGAGCAAGAATCGGTCGTCGATAATGCCGCCTGATCCTGAACCTGCCGCTTGATTCGGTTCTTGAGTGAGCAAGAGACGCACCAGTCAGTCGTCGAAAATGCCACCTGATCCTGAACCTGCCGCTTGATTCGGTTCTTAAGTGAGCAAGAGATGCACCAGCCACTCGTCGATAATGCCGCCTGATCTTGAACCTGCAGCTTGATTCGGTTCTTAAGTGAGCAAGAGACGCACCAGCCTGTCGTCGATAACGCCGCCTGATCCTGAACCTGCCACTTGATTTGCTTCTTGAGGGAGCAAGAGACGCACCCGTCAGTCGTCGATAATGCTGCCTGATCCTAAACCCGCCGCTTGATTCGGTTTCGGAGTGAGCAAGAGACGCACCAGCCGGCCCTGGATAATGCTGCCACATGCTGAGTCTGCTGCTGGTGCCACATTGCGTCATAGGGGAATCGAAACGCAAGCATTCCTACCATTGAAGTGGTTCACAACCCATCGCTTCATCTTCATCACATGTATCAGTGTCAGAGTCCCCATTTCTGTCGATTACAATACTGTCGAGGACAGTGCCAACAAGGCTATCTGCTTCCCACATCTGTTCTTCAACTTCAATGGCGTGTTCAACATAGCTTTCCAAGTTCTCAGAGCTCACACTTTGCAAGGCAGTCGCAGTCAGCTTCTCCACCTCCGCAATCTTGAACGATTGGTTCTTGCTTGCAACTTCTCCTTTCACTTGGCTCCATACCAACTCAATTGGATTAAGTTCACAGTGATAGGGAGGCAAACGGAGGACGCTGTAGCCGTGGTGCTCTGCTATCGTATCAATGCCGTACTTTTCCAGCTCGGGTCTTGCAGCCTTCGCTTTGCTGACAAGGTTCAAGAGCTCCACGTTCGGCATGGACATGTTCGATGCAACCCCGTTGTTGCTGAACCACTGGTGAATCCCGAGCTTCTTTGTGCTGGTGGTTGGCAGGGAGTGTAGTTTTACGGAGTGATACGAAGCATTGTCCATAACTACAACGCCCATGGGCTTGAGGTTTGCTAGCAGCTTGGTAAACCACTCTTCAAAGCGTTGCCCGTCCATTCCTTGGTGGTAGTCACTGTTGCCTTTCTTGGCCCGGAATACCTCGGTCGCCCCCAACAACAAAGCCCTCCTTGCTCCCCGCCTGAACAATGATGAGCCTCTCGCCTTTTCCAGGGGGGTTCTTCAAGCCGGTTGCAAGCCCCTTCTTCTGGGCATCACTTGAAGATGTTACTGACTGGTCCTTCCATACCTTGAAGCGTGTATGTCTGGCATGGACCCACGTCTCATCTAAGTAGTAAATGGGCGTGTTATCTTGGCGGTACTCCTTGATAGACCTCAGATAGGAGGCACGCCAGAGCACGAGATCGTTGCGCTCAAGCAACAAAGAGCTCCTCTTGCGCGTCGTGAATGCGAACCCAAGCTTATTCAGGACTCTGCAGAGAGTGGCATGGCTGAAACTGGGGAAATCGTCATTTTTCTTGATTTCATTCAGAATCTGTAATTTAAGAAAAGCATGTTTTAGCACAATTTCAGCCACTAAGCTCACATCTATTTATCTGGAACTGATTAGTGTTATTCATTACTAGGTCAGTGTTGTCGTGCAATGTCTCGAATACACGAAGTGGAAACAAGGGAAAGAAAACAGACAAAACACAGCCTCCGGGCTTTTAAATGTTCAAAATGACAGCCAATTGACGCCTTCGTCTCTCAAGGGGACACTCCAATTTCTTCTATTGTTGAGCAATTTGTAATAAAATGCAATAATTATTTTTAAAATTATTTTTATTTCAGCGCATGTGCTGCAATTAATTGAATAACAGAATATCCAACAATTACACTGTGACCACAACAAGTTAGTTGTTGCAATGAAAATGTCCCGTCATGACAACAAACCATAAACAATTTTGAGCTCAAGGCAGACATTTAGCCTGTCAGACAAAACTGTGCTTCAATTATGTGTAAATGTTATTCAGCATTTTGTCAGTGTGCCCACGAAGTTGTGGCGGCATTTGTCGGATGCTGGGATACTCTACTCCACATTATAAATGTAGCGTATGTACTATCGGGGAAAAATGAAATGCGAACAGAGGAGCGCGTGGCTCGCGGTACAGGCTGTGCCGCCTGGAAGTGAGCCTAGGGGCGAGGGTGCGTGGCCTACTCCGATGTGTTCACGCCCCTCGATTGGCGCTCCCCAAGCTTCAGCAGTGCGCCTCTTAGTGCGCTGAAAGCTATCACCGCTATCTTTGCTGGCTCAGCGCGTGCGGTGCAAAGAAGCTCGCCGCACTCGCCGAGCAGGCAAAGATAGCGGTGACAGCTTTCAGCGCACTGAGAGGCGCACTGCCGAAGCTGGGCGAGCGCCAATCGAGGAGCGTGAACACATCGAAGTAGGCCACGCACCCTCGCCCCTAGGCTCACTTCCAGGCGGCGCAGCCTGTACCGCGAGCCACGCGCTCCTCTGTTCGCATTTCATTTTTCCCCGATAGTACCTCACACTGAAATGAACATATCAGCATATTCTAATTATATTTTGTTTTATTACAATATTAAATCTCGTGCCCATGTTTGGCTCCGTTTGGTGCCAGCAGCCTTTTTTATACAGACAGGAAATATGCGCCAACGTCATTTAATCTGCAATAGTTGGGCTTTGTTCACGAGTGTCTACATGTGTGCAAGCGGTGGACTCATTTGGGAGGCAGTTGAATGGTATTTCAGATGTCAAGGGGTAATCATATCTGCATTTTTAAGCAATCTCTCAACTTTTTCTAGTTAGCAGTTCAATGAATTGCATAAGATAAGCGGAGGCATTAAGATGTGGACTTGCCTTCAGCAGCGTCGGACACTCGTTCCGCCGGAAGAAACCATGCACGATCAGCCGGAGTGCCCGGTGATGGAACGAGTCCAGCCAACACCACCTAGACAAAAGGCCTCCGCATGGTTTCCTCTTCCTCTATAAAACGTCATCACAGTCGGATCGCGCTCGGTCGGCTATTGGCCCCGAGCCCGACCTTCGACGCGCTGATTGGCCACTAGCCGCAGCCAAACACTGACGCAGCACTCGTGCCCAATTTCTCGCCTCGATCGATCTGACTATGATGACGCGTGTGGAGGCCTTCTGTCCAGGTGGTGTTGGTCCAGCACCCTTGGCGTGGCCAAAGGCCTCTCCCGTCTCGTGCGTATAGGTGAGGGCACTGACAGCGCGCCTGTTAAGGCACTTTTTTCAACAAGCTTTTTTCCATCTAGAGATTGCGGCGTACCCTACACCCGTTAAATCCGCCACTCTCCGGACGGTCTGGTGATACGGCGCAGCCGGATTCTCGACACGAAGCTTAAAATACACGTTAAGTACAATCTGCCACGCCAAACTACTGAAGGTAGCTTTCTTAAATACCGTCTGGTAGCGATGTGGCAAAGAGAACCCGGGATCAGAACTATTGGTCATTAGATAATGAAGATGAGTCTGATCGAGTGGTCGCGTGTTCGACACGGGAACGTTCGTATAAAACGTGCTTGAAGATTGGATTGGATTTTTTTGCCTAAGGCGAAACGACTTTACATCAGTGTTGCCTGTGCACCCTCAAACTTCTCAAAATAGCTGACATGTGTTCGAAATATGGCACCAATATTTATCAACCTAAATACAATTTACATTTACTTCACCAATAGAAAATAGCGTGTTATAGCAACAGAGAACCATACGCGTAATATTGGTGCTCTTCGTACTCGGCGCATCGGAATTTCTTTGCGCACTTTTTTGCAATCCGGATGCACGCTTTTCTGAGGCGGTGCTCCGCCCGCCAGCCTTCGGGCCCTAGTCCATCGTAGGCTGAGACGGAGTATAATACCCACCCATGTAGGAGGGTGTCTTTACTGCCCATGGTTGTTGTTTAATTAGACCTTGAACATGATTCATTATTACGTACGACTTGCATTACAAATGAGTTTTCTAGTAAACGGTGGTGTTCCTGTTAACAAACCATTGTATTAGGTGGGTAGAAAACAAGAGTAAAGAAGTGAACTTTGGTCTTCAATGGCAAGTAGGCTCATATGGAATCATTTTTGTTTCAGTGGAGGCTCAAGTATGCACGACACTGAAGGGACTTTCCTTTCAGTCGACGGAGACAAGGGTACCACAAGAGCCAGCGAGGGAAAGAGAACGGGACCTCTTGATGTCATCGCCTTGCCGCCTGCGTGGCTGTGCCCCGAACCTTGCAGTTTTTGCCGAGGTAAACAATTGGGCCATTTGAAAGTTTTGCGTTTTTGCGGATAAAAAAAACATGACTCACTTCCATGCCTTGCTGTAAACAATCCAATGCAGCACTGAAATTTGTGAGTTGCAGATAATGTCACAGGTAGGATAGATAACCTCTGCATTCTCTGAGTTCTATGGACAAAGGGGCTGCCCAAAGATTACACAGCAGGATGGCGCCCCACTACAGAGCACCAGTATATGTCGTACCCTAGCCTCCTTTATACTGACAAAACCTGGCAGATTGCCACAAGAAGCGGTCGCCGAAATGGAAAAGGTGGAGTGGCATACAGCGGAGAAGAGTTTCGCTGCAGCGGACGCGAAACACGAAAAATGTATATTTTGGGTCCTCGCCACTGCAAAGGCTGTGTGCTGACGTCCAGGTTCCCCGAGAAATTGTTGCGCTCCAAATCTGTGAGCAGGCACTATATGACTCCGTCGCCGAACTGGCAGGCTTTGTGAGTATAGAGGTGCTATGGTCATACTGTAATCCAATTTACTCCTTTTTTTCAGGGGGAGAGCATCTTTTTGTTTGCATGCTTAAAAAAGAGGGTTAGACTGTTATGATTAAATTTGTGCGGACAACCGCTAACAAGCTCTGTTTGGTGTCGTCAGGGCCAACGCTATTCTTATCAATGCTGATATTCGCAAAAGAAAGCAAGATAGGGGAAGGGACAAGAGCAGAGGAAAGCCGTGCCGTTTGCGTGGTCGATGTGCTGAAGACAAATCACGCTAAAGAGAAATCACATGTAACTGTGGTTGTTTAAGATACATTTTTTTGAAAGGGTGTCTTTGCTATGCCAATCTGTAAACATATTTTTTTTAAAGCTGGAGACCAAGTGAGATAAGTATCATCCGCTTTCTTCTCAACTGGTTATTTCAATATTTTATTAGGAGTACTCGGCCATGACGTCAAAACAAACCAAACACCCGATTCGGGCTCATGTTGGAAGGCGGTTCTTTCCTGCCAAACTTCAGAAACATTCATCTAAGCAAAGATGATAAACAAATTACTATTAGCTTTAGTGTCCCGCCATTTCTGCATGCAAAAGATGCCTATATCGGTACAGCAAAGCAAAAGTTCTAGGATACTTTGTAATGCAGAGATGCATTATTTTGTTACTGAGATTGAAAATTCTCATGATTACTGCCTTGTAGTAGGCCTTGTGCATGAAGCGTTCCCTCACATGCACACAGATGTTAAAGCCAGCTTTAAGGCCTCTAAATTCCATCGTGGTTTGCTTTCGTTACAACAAAAAAGGGAGCACAAAAAGACAGGGACGAGAAAGGAAGAAACAAGCGCTCACTACCAACTAGTTTATTTAGAAAAAACGTCTTCCCTTCCTTCCTTGTCCCTGTCTTAATGCACTCTTTTTTTTCATTGTAGCCACGAAGCAGCTTGCCCAGCAAAGAATTTTATAATGCTTTCTTTGACTGTACTAGATAGTCTCAGTAGATAAGCCCCAGCCTTGCCTAGCACCTAGCTTATGCAGGGAGCTGCAGAACAGGTTCAGCTAGCCTTGGTACCCTCCCCTCTTTCCTCTGTAGGGACCGTGCCCCTTGTGCTTCAAGTGCTCTCAGTGCACTTACTGGTTTATTACTTGCATTCCATTTGAGCCTTAAATTGGTATTCTTTTAAAGGAGAAAGTAGACAATAGCAGCAGCAGCCTCCCCCGCCCCTCCACTCTCTATCTCTCCATGGGAATATTTTAGGTTCCTCCTGATGGCTAAAATAATTTTGAATGCAATAGTCTGCATTTTTATGATGTCCATCTGTAACCTGATAGATCATCAGGGTGTCTACCAACATGAAATTCTCAGGGAAATCGTCAAAAATTGGCTTCATCAGGGAAAATGACTACTGAAAGTGGAACGGCGATACGGAACAAAGCTTGACGGTTGCACATGGGCACGACTATGCTGAATAATGTTTCCGAATTATGATCCTTTGACCCAGAAGTGGTCAGTAAGTTTTTATCAAAATAGTTAAGGGGAATTCTAGATATGTGAAGGAATTTGAAATCAGTAATTTGGTAGGCACCCTGATGCACTGGTTCCACCGTACGAAACACTTCACAATCAAGTGAGAATTGGGGAAAGCAAAATATAGAAAGGCAGCAATGGGAGTCTGCCTCACTTGCCATCACTCTGCTGTACCCTATTGCCGCGCGCAAAGTAGACAGCGCGGCCGTAGCCTCACGGTTATCGCGCTTGCCTCCGACGCGAAGGGCCAGGGTTCGATTCCTGGCCGCGGCTACGCATTTTTGTTGACACTGTAATGTGATGTTATGGTAATTTTGAGAAACGTCTAGCTGATTCGAGGTTAGAATGTTCTACTCGTCAAACCTTCTACGTCGAGTGCTCCAGAAGCCAACGCGTGTACAAAAGCGGCTCCGCGTGCCAAGCAGGAGTCAGTCTCACCTCAGCGTTTAATCGTGCTGCTTCGCCGCCTTCGACGCCCGCGACGCTCTGTTTTTATCTTTCCTTCTCCTTTTATTTTTGGGCACAAGTTCGCCCCATTAAACGTTCAGTTTACTCAGTCCTTCGCCGCCTCGTCACTTTTCATCACATTTTGGTGGAGGTGCGGGGTACCGCATGCCCGTGCAGCGTTAACCTCCAAGGGCCCGCAGTGCAAGTCCGATTCCCGGCTCGGTGAGAAGACCATTCATCTCATCGC